TATAATATTGAGTTTTCGGCGATTTTAGCTATTATTTGTGGCATGAATTATTAAATACTTTAAAATCACCATAACTCCTTAAATATTGAGTTCTCGGCGATTTTAGCTATTATTTGTGATCACTTTTTAAGACATGAATTATTGAAAACTTTAAAATGGCCATAATTCCTTAAATATTGAGTTTTCGGCGATTTTAGCTATTATTTGTGATCACTTTTTAAGGCATGAATTATTGAAAACTTTAAAATGGCCATAACTCCATGAATGAATTATTTTAGCTATTATTTGTTATCACTTTTTAAGACATGAATTATTGAAATCTTTAAAATGGCCATTACTCCTTAAATATTGAGTTTTCGGCGATTTTAGCTATTATTTGTGATCACTTTTTAAGCCATGAATTATTGAAAACTTTAAAATGCCCATAACTCCTTAAATATTGAGTTTTCAGCGATTTTAGCTATTATTTGTGATCACTTTTTAAGGCATGAATTATTAAAAACTTTAAAATGACCATAACTCCTTGAATATTGAGTTTTTGGCGATTTTAGCTATTATTTGTTATCACTTTTTAAGACATGAATTATTAATAACTTTAAAATGACCATAACTCCTTAAATATTGAGTTTTCGGCGATTTTAGCTATTATTTGTGATCACTTTTAAGGCATGAATTATTGAAAACTTTAAAATGGCCATAACTCCTTAAATATTGAGTTTTCGGCGATTTTAGCTATTATTTGTGATCACTTTTAAAAGTATGAATTATTAGATACTTTAAAATGGTCGTAACTCCTATAATATTGAGTTTTCGGCGATTTTAGCTATTATTTGTGGCATAAATTATTAAATACTTTAAAATGACATAACTCCTTAAATATTGAGTTTTCGGCGATTTTAGCTATTATTTGTGATCACTTTTTAAGGCATGAATTATTGAAAACTTTAAAATGGCCATAACTCCTTATATTGAGTTTTCGGCGATTTTAGCTATTATTTGTGGCATGAATTATTAAATACTTTAAAATCACCATAACTCCTTAAATATTGAGTTCTCGGCGATTTTAGCTATTAATTGTTATCACTTTTTAAGACATGAATTATTGAAAACTTTAAAATGGCCATTACTCCTTAAATATTGAGTTTTCGGCGATTTTAGCTATTATTTGTGATCACTTTTTAAGTCATGAATTATTGAAAACTTTAAAATGGCCATAACTCCTTAAATATTGAGTTTTCGGCGATTTTAGCTATTATTTGTTATCACTTTTTAAGACATGAATTATTGAAAACTTTAAAATGGCCATAACTCCTTGAATATTGAGTTTTTGGCGATTTTAGCTATTATTTGTTATCACTTTTTAAGACATGAATTATTAATAACTTTAAAATGACCATAACTCCTTAAATATTGAGTTTTCGGCGATTTTAGCTATTATTTGTGATCACTTTTTAAGGCATGAATTATTGAAAACTTTAAAATGGCCATAACTCCTTAAATATTGAGTTTTCGGCGATTTTAGCTTTTATTTGTGATCACTTTTTAAGGCATGAATTATTAAAAACTTTAAAATGACCATAACTCCTTGAATATTGAGTTTTTGGCGATTTTAACTATTATTTGTGATCACTTTTTAAGGCATGAATTATTAAAAACTTTAAAATGGCCATAACTCCTTGAATATTGAGTTTTCGGCGATTTTAGCTATTATTGTTATCACTTTTAAAGACATGAACTATTGAAAACTTTAAAATGGCCATAACTCCTTATATTTAGTTTTCGGCGATTTTAGCTATTATTTGTGTTCACTGTTAAAAGCATGAATCATTAAATACTTTAAAATGACCATAACTCTTTAAATATTGAGTTCTCGGCGATTTTAGCTATTAATTGATATCACTTTTTAAGGCATGAATTCTTGAAGACTGTAAAATGGCCCTAACTCCTTAAATATTGAGTTTTCGGCGATTTTAGCTATTATTTGTTATCACTTTTTAAGGCATAAATTATTGAAAAATTTAAAATGGCCATAACTCCTTAAATATTGAGTTTTCGGCGATTTTAGCTATTATTTGTGATCACTTTTTAAGACATGAATTATTGAAGACTGTTAAATGACCCTAACTCCTTAAATATTGAGTTGTCGGCGATTTTAGCTATTATTTGTTATCACTTTTTAAGGCATGAATCATTGAAAACTTTAAAATGACCATAACTCCTTGAATATTGAGTTTTCGGCGATTTTAGCTATTAATTGTTATCACTTTTTAAGGCATGAATTATTGCAAACTTTAAAATGGCCACGACTCCTTAAATATTGAGTTTACGGCGATTTTAGCTATTATTTGTGATCACTTTTTAAGGCATGAATTATTAAAAACTTTAAAATGACCATAACTCCTTGAATATTGAGTTTTTGGCGATTTTAGCTATTATTTGTTATCACTTTTTAAGACATGAATTATTGAAAACTTTAAAATGACCATAACTCCTTAAATATTGAGTTCTCGGCGATTTTAGCTATTATTTGTGATCACTTTTAAAAGTGATATGTGAAGCTCAATTAAATATGCAAAGTGGTGTAGTATACCACTTTAGTATACCACACTTTATTTAACAAAAGGGTTTCAGATCCGCAAACACTTTACAACGTTGCAGGGTATCAAATGGTCGTTCCAGCCCTACTATAGCCTTTGTTATACCCTACAACACTATGTGTTGGGGTATTATAAGTTTGATTAGGCCAAAAATTATGTAACACCTCGAAATATTGATTTCCCACATAGGAAAGTATATATGGATCTTCCTATCTCGCCGAGCTGAGTCGATCTAGCTATGTATGCCCGTCCGTCCATCTGTCCAAGTTAATTTGTAATCACAGGTCACTCTCTATTTCTTTTGGAGATAATCGCATAATATATAGGGGTTGAAATGGACCAAAAACTGAAAAATTTCCTGATTTTGCAGTTGCTCTACAGGTCACAATTATAGACCAATCGAAGCGAAAGTTAGCATGGGGCTAAGGCTTTGGGCTGGGCAGAAACCTTCCAATTTTGATGGTCATCGGGTAACATATAGTGGTTGAAATAGACCATAGCATTTGTGATAAATAAAAGTCAAATTTTCCATTTACCCGCGAATATTTTTAATGCCGGCGAAATTGCAACTAGACGAACAGGTCATTTGTGACCGTTACGTAGATGCCGATAGTAATAATATCGGATATATGTAGCGAAATATATTCAATGTATATAAAACAAAGGAAGGGGATGTTAGCTAGAATGCCTATATCTCCAGAATGGCTGGAGCGATTTTGACAAATTTTGTCAATTTAGAATTCCCTCTTGGCATAAAAGTATAAACTCTAAAAAATTGCACAAAAAGATGCCAATAATGATGTTAATATAGATTTTGTACTATTTTGTGACATTTTTTTCATATTTTTTATCGCATGCGATTTTTTCAATTTGACTTATAATATTGAAATGTACATTTTATAAAAAATTTTTCACCTTACAACACGGGTTGTGGTTATTATACACAGATTGCAATTATCGTCCGATCTTCAGGAAAATTTTCACAAGGGTAGGGTTAGACTCAGAAGAGCTATTGTTTTCAAAGATGACCGCTATATATTTAGGGGTTGAAATGGACCAACCACTAAAAATGTTCCTGATTTTGCAGCCTTTATAAGGACGCAAATAGAAACCAAAGGACACGCAACCTCCCATGTAGTTAGGGTTTAGGACAGCGGGTAGAATGGACCACTACTTTTGTGTGAAAAAAATACAAACATTACTTACAGGCGATATCCGAAATACACAAAAGGCGAAATTCTGATTTTTATGCTGATTTCGTTGATGAATATAGCCAAATATCGTAGACAAGCAAATCATATAAATGAGTCTAACTTTGGAGACACAGAGGGGCCTCTTGCTTTTGGAGATGATCGCAAAATATTTAGGGGTTCAAATTAACCATAAACAGAAAAAAAATCCTGATGACACAATTGAAGCCTTTCGACACGCCTGAGAAGATAATTAAACACAGGTAAAAATTCTGGCATTTTGGATGACCATTGGATTATATTCAGCCGTAAAATGGACCACAAAAACTAACAGCACGACAGATTACATAAATATTGGGAAAATGTCCCTGGTCAAAGTGCTCCGTGACATAATTTCAAAAGCGAAATCTTCCAAAATGGATTTGGGCATGAGGGGGTTTCTAACATATTGTAGTGTTGTAGGGTATCACATGGTCGGCCCCGCACGACTATAGCCTTTGCTTACTTGTTTAAAATATGAAATTATTTATTTTTCACTGTGTGCATTAAAGAAGTGAAGTTTAGGTACACTGGTATTAATTCTATTTTGCATACGATTTATTTCTTTTAGTACCACGTTACAGACACTATAATTAAAAATTATAGATCCAACACGTTTGGCCATGATGCAATATTCAAAACCTTTATGTCCCCCGTTTCTGGAACATTCCAAGATTAGCGCTTCTGTCATTCGTAGATAATCCTTATGTGGATGCAATTTTTCGAAGACACAGTTAGAACCACGTTAACTAGAGATACATTTTTTATCGAAAGGGATAGATTTAAATATTAAAAATTTTTGATAGTGTTGAAACCAAATTTACATTTTATTTTTGAAATACGAAGTGGAATTGTTTTTTTGCGATTATTAAACACCTTCCTCAAATTTCGATCAGAATTAAAAATTTTATTGATAAATAAATTTGAGAATGTCAAATTTCCAAAATTGGTTGATTTTGATTGGAAAGAGAAATGTGGACTAATCGAATTAAGACTGTTGGCTTTCTTAAAATCGTAAATTATGCAGGGAAAGTTATTGGCATAATTAAAATTCCTCATAATAATGTTAAGCGAGTTAACAATTAAAAAAAATGGAAAAAGTAGGCCTAATTACAAATGATAACAAACATTTAATGCCAGCAACAAACAAATGTCAATGGATATATTGAACTGTTTAATCGCTAAAACATATAAAGATATCGAGTTTTTGTAACTGAAGTTGATGTTATTAAGAATTTTATTGAACTTCAATTTATATAAAAATCACAGAGATCGGACAGAAAAATCAGTTGAGTTCCCGACTTCAAACAGAAAAATGAAATTCTCAGTAAGATATTTTTGAAAGAAAATTCAAATTTTATACCAAAAATATATATTTGCTTAATTATATTATTGTCTAATATTTCTTTAAGATCATTCTTATTGCTTGCCTTTTGGCATTTGCTTTTGCTGATGAGCATGAGGAACACCACGAAGAACACGGTCACCACGAGGAGCATGAACACAACGAAGAACATGGTCACAATGAGGAGCATGACCACCACGAAGAACATGGTCACCACGAGGAAAATGAACACCATGAGGAACATGACCACCACGAGGAACATGACCACCACGAGGAACATGGCCACCATGACGAGCATCATAATCACCATGCCGATATTGTTAAGGAATATGTTGAACAAGGCCCCAAGGAATATAAATATTCCGTGGACTTAAGTGACCACACTCACGTTTCACACGAAGGCCATTTGGAGGACAAGAAGACTTGGGTGGTTAAGGGCGAATACGAATACAAAGATAAACATGGAAAACCAATTAAGGTTACTTACACCGCTGATGATCACGGCTTCCATCCCAAAATCGAACAATAAATTACAAATAATGAAAGAATGAATAACTTTCGTTATATCTAAAGAACAATAAATATTAGAATCTGCATAAGTTATAGAACCGCTTATATTTTTTTTTTTTTTCTGGCATTAGAGTAGTATAATTTCCATTACATTAAGCATCTTCATAATGGAGAAATTCAAAATGTTCAATTATAGTACTTACAAATCTCATTCCAAATTCCAAAAGTGTTGCAAAACTTAATTTATAATTTTCTAAGTACTTATTTCCTACGAGATGTCCATGGTAAGAGGTAAGGATGTTGTTGATATACACTCACATTATTATGCCCTACAACACTATGTGTTTGGGGTATTATAAGTTTGATTGGGCCAAAAATTATATAACACCTCGAAATATTGGTTTCCCACATAGGAAAGTATATATGAATCTTCCTATCTCACCGAGCTGAGTCGATTTAGCTATGTATGTCCGTCTGTCCATGCTAGTTTGTAATCACTCTACAGGTCGCAATTATGGCACGAAATTTAGAATGGAGATTGGGCTAGGGCCAGAATATGGAGATGATTGCCTACTATTTAGGGGTTGAAATGGACCAAAAACTGAAAAATGTCCTGATTTTGCATTTGTTCTACAGGTCGCAATTATAGCCTAATCGACGTGGAAGTTAGCATGGGGCTAGAGTTTAGAGCTGGGCAGAAGCCTACCAATTTGGATGGTTATCGGGTAATATTTAGTGGGTGAAATAGACAATAAAATTTGTGTTAAATATAAGCCAGATTTTTCATTAACCTCAAATATTTTACAAGAGTAGGGTTAGGCTCAGAAAGCCTATGCCTATTGTTTCTAAAGATGTGTGCAATATATTTAGGGTTAAACTGGACCAACAACTAAAAATGTTCCTGATTTTGCAGTCATTATAAAAATCACAAATAGAAACCAAATGACACGAAATCTCGCATAAAGTTAGAGTTAGGACAGCGAGTAGAATGGACCACTACTTTTGTATAAAAAAATACCAACATTTCCATTCATCCGAAACGCTGAAAATAACTTGCAGGCGAAATCCAAAATACACAAAAGGCGAACTTCCGGCTTTTTTATGCTTATTTCATTGAAGAATATAGCCAAATATCGTAGACAAGCAAATTATATAGATAAGTCGAAATTTAGAGACACAGAGGCGCCTCTTGCTTTTGGAGATGATCGCAAAATTTTTAAGGGTTCAATGAACCAAAAACAGAAAAAATTCTCCTAATCACACAATTCCACCATTAGGGAAATAAGCCCGTTTTGTCGAGACTTCTCTCACGGGCGTTATATTTTATTTTTAAATAAATCAAAATCTAGAATTGCAAAATAATTAAATTCCATAATGTACAGGGCAACAGACCTTTCTTTACTTGATTGATAAAAATACCCTTAAAATCATCACAATATCAAATACTAACAACTGCCCGCTACGTCGTGAGCAAAAAGTCCTCCATAGAATTTTTGATTCGTTCAAACAGTTAGTGTTAGGACTTTTTTTACCCTGGAAAACCACAAGTGGCTATCGTTAGAGCACTTCAGCATTTAAATGTGAATAAATCGTTTGTGTCTCGTACTATCGCTGGTTACCGGAAGAAAACAGCAACATCAGCAGAAATGGTTCGAAAAGTAACGAAGCCACTTGATCGAGACCCGTGTCGCAGTGGCCGAAAAATGGCTCGTGAGGTGAACATATCGCAAATTCCATTCGACAACTGATGAAAAATGAGCTCGAAGTACAGCCATTGAAATTCCAAAAAGTGCAAGAACTTGCACCGCAGCAGTAAGAATATAGACTCAAAAGAGTTAAAGAGTTGCTTTCCTTTGCCGAAAGTGGTAAACTTCCGAATTTGGTTTTCTCCGACGAGAAAACATTCGTTGTAGTGGTTTGTAAACAAACGAAATGATCGTTTTTACTTGCCAAAGAGGTCAGCTAAAAATGTGCACCTTCGGTTGGCCACCATAACTCAAGCGACACCCATGGTGATGGTGTGGGCCGCCATAACAGTCGATGGTCGCTCTCCGCTCGTATTAATCGACGTGGTATCGTGGCATTAGAATAAATGCTTTTATTAGACCTTGGACATTCCAACATGACTCAGCACCATCGCAATCAGCACGCCAATTCTAAGGTTCATTTCCCGCGCACAATGGCCACCAAAATCTCCGGATACCAATCCGTTGGACTATTGTGTCTGGAGTGTTTTGGAAAGAAGAAGTAAGTTGGCACTAAATAATACTAAAAAGTCGATCACCTCAAGCTAGCGCTTCGCCGGGAATGGGCCAAAATACCGCAGAGCAACATTCGGGCATCATGTGTCGGTTTAACTGGCCGTTTTAAGGCCATAATTCGTGCCAAAGCTGACCAATCCGGACAAATCTAAACTTATTCTAAAATTTTATGCTATTTTCGACATTTTTGGCTTTTATTCAATAAAACTCCAAAAAATAAAAATAAATTATGGTGATTGACTTTGTTGCAGTTTTTTATCTTACTCTGTGGGTCAATGTCTATATAACGATGCCTCCAAATATTTATTTTTTATGGTGTTAGAGACATTGTTTCAAATTATTCTTTTCCTTTTCTGACACGCTTTTCCTTTTCTGAAACGCGTTTCCTCTTTTCGGAAAAAAAATTCAAGTTTCTGCACAATGGTGTAAGGTATTAAAAGTAAAGGGCTAAGTACATAAGAAGCTTGAAGTCATGGCACGGCCTATTTTGTGATATTTCACAAAGGAATTACAGAGCCGCACTAAAATCCTGCCGTCGTTTTTCATTATAATTTGGCATTAATATGCCTAGTCATGACTTCAAGCTTTTTATGTATTTGCAGCCTTAGGCACGGCCGAACTTCTTACATCAGCTTTATCCCTTCACCCAATACCAACTTAGTAACATTTAGTTCTTTTCGTAGAGTTCAAGTACGCATTTACGAAAAAAATCTGCATACCTCAACCTCAGATACCAAATTTCAGGTCTGTAATTTAACCCATTGCCAAATTTAGCTTTTCGTACAAATATAGGACACATTTTCGAAACCACCGCCATATGAAAAATGAAAAATATTCAAAGTTCTAGCTCAAAATGTACTACATGCTACACAATTTGGTAGTAGCTGAACAGTTCTATCCTTTCAGCTACTGCAAAATTTAGTAAGATTTAGTATTTTTCGAACAATGATAGTACGCATATTCAAAACAATCTCCATATATCTACATTAGATACACTCAGAGACTTTCATATCAAATTTTGGGATTCCAGCAGTATCTCTTCACCCATTACCCAATTTAATATTTTTCGATTATATTACACATTTCCAAAATCTTCTCCATATCTTAACCACAGACACCAACAGTGACATCTATATAAAAAACCAGTAAGGAAAACTCAAAAGTCGGGCGGGGTGGACTATATGATACCCTAAACCGCTATGCATATTTAGAGAGCTCCCGTAACAAAATAAATTATTTCAACTAGATCATACCACCTATCAACATTTGGATTTAGAGCAGTTATAGTTTCATATAGAGGGCATGATATCACTTGGAGAATGGTTATATTAAAAAACTTAAACACCAAATCGGATGAAACATATATATGGGAGCTATAGCTATATCTGAACCGATTTTCTCCAAATTTGATGCACCTACTTCTAGACTGAATTAGGTAGGATGTACTAAAATTCGGGACTATTTGACAGATATTGGTCATTTGGTGCACAATTAACCCGAAATCGGTTGAAGATATGTATGGGATTTATATCCAAATCTGAACCGATCCTGATAAAATTTGGCAGAGGTATTTTCGAGCAGCATCTGATGTCCGGTACCAAATATCATCCTTCTAGAGTGCATATTACAAATGTGAGGTATTTAAAATCCCAAATTGGATGAAACATATATATGGGAGCTATAGCTATATCTTAGCCGATTTCCAAATTTGATTTACTTGCTTCTAGGTGGGATGTACCAAAATACAGGCCATTTGGACTTGTATTAGCCATTTGGTGCACAATTAACCCGAAATCGCTTGAAGATTTGTGGGAGCTATACATAAATCTGTTTCGATTATCACCAATTTCAATAGGGCCAAACATATATTGTTTGCAGAATTTCATCTCAATCGAAAAATAAATGTGATCTAACTTGGTACTAATATTATTAAAATTAGATCGAGTAAGGTGATGACAAAGTCGGTCCACTTCTTCTGGCATTTTCTCCACAAATGATCAAAATTTTCAATAATCACAATGATTAAAAATGTGAAGGAAGAGACCGTTTATCTTTAAATGTCGTACATTCATATATTTCTACTAACTCTCTATATATTATGAAAATGATAGATCGGACCACTTTTTCCGGTACTTTATACACCAGGGTAACTCTTTATATTTGGTATTTTTATACCCTCCACCATAGTATGGGGGGTATATTAAGTTTGTCATTCCGTTTGTAACACCTCGAAATATACATTTCTTGATCAGCATAAAATTCTATGTCGATTTATCAATGTCCGTCCGTTTGTCCGTCTATCCGTTTGTCCGTCTGTGGAAATTACTCTAGCTTCCGAATGAAAAAAAGTAAGTTGATAATAATTTACCCAAATGTGTCTTATGTCTTCAGGACTTTTGGTATTGAAAATGGGCTATGTAGGTCCACTTCTTCGTATAGCCCCCATATAACGCTACCCCCCGATTTGATGATGATTTTAGCGACTTTATTTACCGGAATTGTTTTAAATTTGGTATTTGAAGTTCGCAATGGATACTACAGAATATGACAGGAGATTGTCTGTGAAGATTCACGTCTTCGTATAGCCCATATAACGGTACCCCCGATATTCGGTATTTTGATGATTTTAGCGACATTTTTTACCGGAATTGTTTCAAATTTGGTATTTGAAATTCGTAATGAATAGTACAGCCCATATAAGGGTACCCTCTGATATTCAGTATTTTGATGATTTTAGCGACATTATTTACCGGAATTGTTTCAAATTTGGTATTTGATGTTCGGAATGGATACTACAGCCTATGCCAGAAAATTGTCTTTGCAGGTCCACGTATAGTACCTTCCTATATGCTGTATTTTATTTATTGTAGCTACATTATAAACAGATTTTTTTCAAGTTAAGCATTTTAATATTATAATAGCTTATGACAAAAGTTGCCTATGCAGGTCCACGTCGTCTTATATACCTTTATATACGGCTATATTCGGTATTTTTAAGATTTTAACAGAATTTTTAATGCATTTTATTTTATATTTATGCCAAATTTGTACCAAATGGTGGAGGGTATTCAAAGTTTGACCGCTTTCTCACTTGCTAGCTCCACTTTCATAATCTGCTGTATATTTCTTGTTATTATTTTTTTTTTGCGTTGGACAATTATATTGTAGATTGGCAAAATACTATACACATTAAAATATATTTAAATGTACGATTAAGCATATAATTCTAAATACTATTATTCCGTATTTTAGTTATATATACCGCAAAGTACTTAACTACTCCATTTACGAATTACAAAGCAGCAAAACGAAATGCATTCAAACATAACGACTTAACAATAAATAACAAATGTATATCTACGACTTCACGTGTATGTATCCTATTGATGTATAACTGGATGATAGCCTTTTTCGTCAGCTGTGTAGGTAACTTTTACCAAACGTCCTGTCTTGGATTTATACACATATTCTCCTTCGACTTGCCATGTCTTCGACTTGACAGCATCTCCTTCGTGATTCGCAACTGGTTTTTCATCCAATTCGGCAACATATTTGTAATCTTTTGGATTGAATTGATGATATTTAATTTTATTTTCCGGGAAAGGATCCAATTTTTTGAATTCTTTTTCAAAGTCAGTGGTGCTGGATTTGGTCTTTTTACTATTCTCTTCAAGTACATCGGCACTGTGCAAATCCTTTGGGCGCTCATAATGATAGCCATTGTCGGGTTTGTGTTCTACCGGTTTTGGTGGATCATAGTGATATCCATCATCTTGTTTCTTTGGAGGATCGTAGTGGTAACCATCGTCTTGTTTCTTGGGAGGATCATAGTGGTAACCATCATCCACTTTGTGTGGGGCATCATAATGGTAACCATCATCCTCTTTGTGCTCACCATCATTTTGAGCCAAAATAATTGTAGCACCCAGAAGGCAAATACCAAGGATCGCCTGCAGATAAAATATGAATATAGTATGAAATTAATTTTTTTGTGCTTCAAAAAATATCATAATTAACTTACAATAATTTTCATGTTGTTGTGCCTTAATTATTCCGTTGCGAAGTGATATTCTTGAATGCCTTTTTATATTTAAATTTTCATGTTGCGGATGTTGTAATCAACTGTTACTTTTTGGGGGTGTACATTATATCTGCAAAACTTTATCACTTTCTCCAAAAACAACAAAAAAAAAAAAAAAAAAAAAACTAACCACAAATGCTCCCCCGTGGTTTCATAATGAAATGACCTAAGTCACAATTACAAAAAAAAAAATGTCACTAATGTATTAAATATAGACACACATAATATGCGATTTATTTTTACATATATATTGGTTGGGCATTGATAAATCAGTCAGTCACTCAGTCATGGCTGACCAACCAGCCTTGGCTGGGTTTTTTGAAACTCGTACTAAAAGATATTTTGTATTGGACAAACGGGACAAGCTAGAATTCTGAAATTTGGAATGATGGAGTGCAGGATAGATGCACCAAAGGGTCTTTTGAAATTCGTACTTTAAGGTTACGAATAGTTCTAAAATGGTACTAAACTTTTAGAATTGTACCATTTGGTGTTATGTGAATGGTTATGTGTAAAACTAGAAATTTCCTATGACACTAATTGATCGAGCAGTACTAAGTGGTACTAAATTGGGTATTGGGTGAAGGCTGGAATTCCGAAATTGGATATTAAGGTCTCTGTTGGTAATTAGGATTGAGACATAGATGTTGTTTGAAAATGTGTGAAGAGTGGTAAATATTGACTTTGTGAAGGAGTAGAGCTGGCATCCTGAAATTTGATATGTATTCCCATATTTGTGCCTGTGGTTGAGAGAAAGAGCTGGTTTTGGTACTAAATTTGGTAATGGGGGAAATGTTAGAGCTGAAATCCTGAAATTTGTTATTAACGTCACTTCTGGTATCTGAGGTATAAATATGAAGTTTAAATGCTACTAAATTTGGTATTGGGTGAAGGGATAGACCTGGAATCCTGAAAAAACTGCAACAAAGTCAAATGCCATAATTTTTACACATTTTTTTTTTAAATTTTATTGAATGAAATCAACAAAAAGAAGCATACAATTTTAAAATAAGTTTAGATTTGTTCGAATTGGTCATCTTTGGCACGAATTATGACCTTTAAACGGCCAATGAAACCGTTACACGATGCCCGAATATTGATCTGCGGTATTTTGAGCCATTCCCGGCAAGGTATAGTCCAACAGATTGGTATCCGGAGATTTTGGTGGCAATTATGCGCTGGAAATGAGGCGAGGAACTTCATTTTGTAATCATTCGTCGGTGGCGCGTGCTGAGTGCGATGGTGCTGAGTCCTATTGGAATGTCCAAGGACTCAGCACAATCCAAATGTCATAATATTCGGCATTTATTCTGATGCCACGGTCGATAAACACGAGCGGAGAGCGACCATCAGCTGTCGTGGCTGCCCACACTATCACCATGGCCGGCGCTTTAGTTCTGGTGGCCATTTTCAGCTGACCTCTTTGGCAAGTAAACACGATCATCCGACAACGAATTTTTTCTCTTTCGGCCAAGCGAAGAAACTTATTAGCTCGTTTGAGCGTATTTTCTTTCCGTTGCGGTGTAAGTTCTTGCACTTTTTGGAATTTCAATAGCTTTACCCTGAGATATTTTTTCAATATTTGCCCAATGCAATATTGCGATATGTTCAGCTCATGAGCCATTTTTCGGCCACTGGGACGCTGGCTTAGATCTAGTCGCTTCTTTACTTCTCAAACCATTTCTGCTGATGTTTCTGTTTTCTTCCGTCCACTTCCTTGATGTCGGGCTACGCTACCAGTATCACGGTAACGAGCGATGGTACCACACACAAAAGATTTATTCACATTTAAATGCTGGAGTGCTCTAAAGATAGCCACTTGTTGTTTTCCAACCAAATATAAAGAAATCACACTATCGCGCTTGAATTTCATCACGAATAACCATTTTTTCTGGAAAATTCTCACCAAAATGCTTTTGTAAGCTTGTAAACAATATAATGAACTGTAACTGGAATAATTATAACAGCTGTCGGGCAAGTGGTTTAGAAATGACTGCAGTCTGAAGTTGGTGGAATGAGTGTCCTTAAATGAGTGTCCTTGAAGGAATGAGTGTCCTTAAATCGATCTTTAATCGACTAATCTCATTTCTTGGTATGTATAGTAATTTTTTATTGGACTTGGTAATTTTTTTATAAATAAAAAATTTGTTATTGTTTGCATTTTCGCTGTATTTGCCTACTTTACCCCACATTAAGTAAAGAGCTTTTAAATTTAAAGAGAACTTGACTTGCTTCAGTGTTTTGGGTTTCGACCAAAATAATCCTCACATTTTGCTCAGCGGACGCAAAATTATAGCCAATTTTATTAGGATTGTAATTGCTCTCCGTGTAAAAAATCAGTTGCTACGCTTTCGTCCAAAATTTCAAGTTTATTTAGGTCCATTATGGTTCGGAATTCCAAAAATCTCGCCTTATCCCAAACGTATGCAGCAATTTTGGCTCTAATGTGAAAGTTCGATATTCAAAATATTCATTCAGTTAGGCTATCATTATATTTTAAATTCTTGAAATACAAAACGCCACCGCTTTAGAATTTCTGAATTATTTTCTGAAAAATGGACTTAGCCCAGAATTTTTGGCAAATGACAGTTCTGTAATTCTCACATAAAATTATTAACAAAGTATCAATATCTAAGGGTAATAACAATAAAAACCCGTTAGGTGGGTAAACGTCAAAATGAAAGGCATTGAAGGAATTATTAATTTGATATTACTTAGTCATCTTTGGAAGTTCAATACCTTGAGCTTACACGAAGTTCAATGAAACGATGATGAAGTTTGAAGTACGACATTTTATAATTTATTGGCCCATTTTTCATTTAGCGCATCCTACACATGGTTTAGTTTGTTATCAATCAAATAATTCGATTGAGAAATGGAATGTTTAATTTAGTCACGCTTTAGCAGCAACAAAAAGCAGGAGTTTTCAAAAACAAAAAGGGAAAAAAAAATAATAAACAATGTAAAATACATACATAAAATCACGTTTCGAAAATTCTTAAGATAAGTTTAGTTTCCAATAGACAAATTAAAATACTTTAAGTGGTTTCTGAGAAATTGTATACATATAATAATGTGGGGGAGTGGATACAGTGGATAAGATGAATTTGAAAGAGTGAGGTGCCCCATGTAAAAAATATTTCGTGAATAATCTGTGCTAAGAAATTATTTTTTTATAATTACAGAAAAGACCAAGTAGATTATGAAAGTAGATAAAAAGCAGCTAAGTTCGGCCTGGCGGCCCTCTGTCTTCTGGAAGGAATTTGCAGAATGTAAAAAATCCATTAAGAAACATCGCTAAAATTTAAAAAATTCCAAATATCAGGCGCTAAAGTAACACGAGGACATACAAAAGCGTGGACTTTTACAGTCAATTATCTGCCAGAGAGGGTGGTGCTTTCTACGAACTTCAAATACCATATTTATAGTCCGAAACCAGTAAAGAAAGTCTTAAAGTCGGGCGGTGCCTACTTTATGATACCCTACACCACTTTGCTAATTTAGTAGATTAAATGTTTTTAAATGTTTTTATGGGAGAATTCAATCATACACGCTATGATTATAATTATAAATTAAATTTAAAATTTAAATTTAAATTTAAAAGACTAAATATGCCGAAGCATTTATGTCTTTTAAATTCGGACTTGTATTGCCCATTTGATATATATGGAGCTATATCAAAATCTGAACCGATCTCGATAAAATTTGGCAAAGATATTTCGGAGCTGTATTTGATATATTTCCCTTAATATCGGTGTTACGGAGTGCATATTACGGCTGTGGGTAACAAATATAACATATCGGATGAATAATATATATGGGAGCTATGGCTATATCTGAACCGATCTTCACCAAATTTTACATACTAGCTTCTAGACTCAATTCAGTCGTAAGTGCCAAATTTAATGCCATTTGAGAAAATATTAGACGTTTGGCGCACAATTAAAGATAAATCGGACGAAGTTATACATGGGAGCTATATCTAAATTTTGACCGATTATCTCCAATTTCAATAGGGTTCGTCCTTGGGCCAAACAAATGATTTGTGCAAAATTTCATCTGGATCTGGTTATAAATGCGGACTGTACTTTGTTTACAATAATACATGGAAAGATGGACGGACATGCATAAATCGACTCAGAATGTGATTCTATGCAGATCATCAAAAGAAACTATGTATCTATCTCGTTTCCTTTTGCCTGTTACAAACAAATGCACAAAGACATAATACCCTGACCACCTTGTGATGTAGGGTATAAACAACTATGGGGAAAATGTAGCTAAAATCGTCAACATACAGAATAGTGAGAGGCATCATTATATGGGGGTTATACGAAGACGTGTACATATATAAGCAACTTTCTATCAAATATCAAATTTAATAAAATTCCCGTGAAATAATGTGGCACAAAGTATACAAAATACCGAATATTGCAGAGTGCAGTTATATTAGGACATGAATCTATAATATAGAAAATTATCACAAAATATTATAGAAAAATTTGTTGTTGCACAATGGTCAGGCTTAATCCCTTTATTGTTGTTTTAATAAAAACAACGTTTTTATATTAGACCGCGTTGCCGGTACGTATTTTTAGTCTGTAATAGATATTTTTTAAAGCATCTCCATAGTAATTTCTAAATAGAAATAAATATTCATGGCAGTGGAGTGTTAAAAACCTATATGAACATCTTAAATAGCGCGATGTGAAAACTCAGCTCAATTTTTTGGTATTGTAAAGAGCTTAGCAACATTTTCCATTCAACTGAGCTGTTATTTGGAATTTGTGTTTCCAAAGTTTAGATTACCAAGCTGCGTGGTATTTAGTTTTGTCCACCTCATAATTGAGGTAGAATGATATCAGAATAGCACAAGGATTACTAAAAAAATAAAATTAAAAATTTAAATTAAATTACTCTTTTACATCCATTGCCGTAAGATGAGAATTGTTTTTTTTTTTTTGTTATTTAAATTGGACGTTGGAGACCCCTTAAAGTCCATATTTTTCATCATAGTATAACTCAATGACGATTGAGGTCCCGTCCTACTTTCAAATATTCGTAATTTTTTCGTGTTTCTGACACAATTTCCGTTTGACATTTCGGAGATTATTTCAAATAGACGTACATCCCACATTTACTTTCCCAACCAATATTCTTTTGGGATAACAAATTCAATAGAATACAACATTTTCTTTCCTGACCATACATTGGTTGAGAAAATGGACTTGGGGGTACAATAATGTGGGGACTACACATAAATAAATGCCAATGTTGACAATTATCTGTAAGATGGTTCTCTACCACAGGGTAGCCTAAATACATTTTTTTATCCACATCAATTGATGAATGTGGTGAAGACCAAGATCGACCCTTCTCCGAAAATTGAAAATTTTATGCGTTTATCCCCTTTGAAACCAAGATGCCTAATAAGGGCCAAACATGAAAACACTACAATATGTTAGAAGCCCCCTCATGTCCAAATCCATTTTGGAAAATTTCGCTTTTGAAATTATATCACGGAGCACTGCCTAGATATTACCCTTAGCATTTTGAACAAGGACATTTGCCCAATATTTACGCACTCCGTCGTGCTGTTAGTTTTTGTGGTCCATTTTATGGCTAAATATAATCCAATGGTCATCCAAAATGCTAGAATTCTTCACTGTGCTTAACTATCTTCTCAGGCGTGTCGATTGGCTTCAATTGTGTTATCATGATTTTTTTCTGTTTTTGTTTCATTTGAACCCATAAATATTTCGATCATCTCCAAAAGCAATTTGGCTATATTCGTCACCGAAATCAGCATAAAAAAGCCAGAAGTTCGCCTTTTGTGTATTTCGGATATAGCCTGTAAGTAATGTTAGTATTTTTTCACACAAAAGTAGTAGTCCATTCTAACCGCTGTCTTAAATTCTAACTTCATGCAAGATTTCGTGTCCTTTGGTTTCTATGTGTGACCTTTATAACGGCTGCAAAATCAGTAACATTTTGAGTTGCTGGTCCATTTCACCCCCTAAATATATAACGGACATCTTTGAAAACAAGAGGCTTAGCCCTTCTGAGCCTAACCCTACCTTTGTCAAAAATTTCGTGAGGATCGAATGATAATTGCAATCTGTGTATAAATATTAACCCCAACCTGTGTTGTTAAGTGCAAAAATATTACGAAATATACACTTCAATATTATAAGTCAAAATGAAAAAATCGCATGCGATAAAAAATATGAAAAAATAAAAAAATGTCACAAAATACTACAAAATCTATATTAACATCATTATTGGTATATTTTTATGCGATTTTTTTAGTTTAAATACTTTAATGCCAAAAGGGCATCCTAAATTTAAAAAAATTTTCAAAATCACTCCAGTCATTCTGGAGATATAAGCATTCTAGCTAACATCCCCTTCCTTTCCGATATCCGATATTTTTACTATCGGGATCTACATAACGGTCAGAATTGACCTGTTCGTCTATTTGTGATTTCGCGGTTTAATGGATAATTTGACTTTTATTTATCAAAAATGTTATGGTCTATTTCAACCACTAAATATTACCCGATGACCATCAAAATTGGAAGGCTTCTGCCCAGCCCAAAGCTCTAGCCCCATGCTAACTTTTGTGACCTGTAGAGCAACTGCAAAATCAGGAAAATTTTCAGTTTTTGGCCCATTTCAACCCCTTAATATTGTGCGATCATCTCCAAAAGAAATAGGGTTCTATTTTGACCTTAACCCCACCTACATTTTAAATTTCGTGAAGATCGGGCCATAATTGTGACCTGTAGAGTGATTACAAATTAATATGGACAGACGGACATACATAGTTAGATCGACTCAGCTCGGCGAGATAGGAAGATCCATATATACTTTCCTATATGGGAAACCAATATTTGGAGGCATTATATAATGTTTGGCCCTATAAAACTTTTAATATTTCCCACACCCACTGTTGTATGGTATAAAAATGTTGCCAAAATCAGCAAAATATAAAGTATCCGCAGTTTACCTAAAATGAGGGCGGTACCAAACCTGAATATGTTTAGTTAATTTTCGCCAGCTGTGGTAGTAGTGTTACAAAGTACAAATACGAAATTTCAAACAATTCCATTGGGAAATTTAACTAAAATTATCTAAATACCGAACATTAGGGAATTTAGATGGAGTGCTACAGAAAAACATGTGACGTATATAAACAACTTTCTGCCTAACACAAAATTTGAAACAATTCTCTTTGAAAATGAGACTTCATTCACCAAAATGATGAATATCAGGAGGTATATATCTGTGGATGCTATACGAGATTGAGGATCGATATATCCCATTTTTTGTCAGTTTTCATTTTGCAGACAACTTAATCTTTGAAATTACAGAATTCATGTTTTACTATTCGCCAGCAAAGATCAATGTAAAAAACTGACCTATCTATGTTTAACCGTGTCTTGACCAATTCGTGTTTTTTAACGTGGATAATAGCTTAAACAGATCTTACTTTACTGCAAAATAAATGGCTCAAACTATATTTTCTGTCGTTTATATCAAGGAAACTAAAGAAAAACGAAAAGAAGATGCTTCTGCAAACTTAAAATGCATTCCCAGATGATGACCACACCCCTTCTTCTACATTCATACATACATGCATATGTATGACCAAAAGAAGGAGGCATAACTTCGGCCCCTTACCATCTCCACATGATGTGGTTGACCTTCACGTTTGCCACCGGTCTCCAGCAGTTTATTCACCCTAAGACACACCTTTACAGTTATAGTTGAACTTTAAGAATCGTATTCAACTCGCATCGAAGCAACGTCCAAGATGAAGTTTGGCAACTGGATATGCCTCTTTACTGTGGCTGTTTTGCAATGTCTTCCTGTTACACACGGGGCAAATAGTTTATAAATGCTTTCTGCTGGCGTGGATTTTACAAATCAAACATTCCGGTTCTGTTACTCTTGACCAATGAAAAATGATCTCCCTATAGAGAGTAATAAAAATATATAAAGGCTTCAGAACCAAAAAGGACTTGCAGTTTATTTTGTAAATCCCAAGAAAACGGTTGAAGTTATCAAAAATGAAGTTCACTGTGAGTTTCATGTTTCATAGGCATCGTGTAAAATTTGTAAGGTTTAAAATTGTTATTCCTCTTGCAGATAATCGTATTTGCGTGCCTTTTGGCCTTTGCATTGGCCGGACACTATGAGAGCCATGGTCATCATGAAGATCACGGTCGTCACGATTACGGCCACGGTCATATTGATGACCATGGTCATGGTCATGAAAGTCATGGCCACCATGATGAGCATGATGATCATGGTCATCATGACGATCACGATGATCATGGCCACCATGATGATCACGATGAACATCAAAATCAACATCAAGACGATCATGACGAACATGGACATCATGACTTCCACGGTCATCATGACGATCATGAACAGCATGAGGTTCAAGGCCACGAATATGATCATGTCCATTTCGATGATCATGGCCATCACAAGGAGCATGTGGGCGATCTAAAGAAGTATGTCCGCGTCAGTCCAGTGGTTGATAAGAAGAAAGTGGAGGTTGGTGCCGACAAACATGATTACCACGGCAAACACGGAAAACAAGCCTAGATGTCATCCACGCGGAGATGTCACCCACCGAGATTGATCTGATCCATATTTGGCATTCAATTTATTTGTGATTTGAATAAAACAAAATGTAATGATCACAGACAATTTGTAAAGCTTATTAACATTTCTGGGTAGATAAAGGATAAGAAAGCTTATGTCTCGATAAAAAAATGAATGTGTGGGTGTACCGAGTTTGTCACTCCCTTTGTAATACCTCGCAATATACAGTGTGAGATAAAACAAGTAAAAAAACATTAAGTTCGGCCGGGCCAAACTTTTAGTACCCTCCACCTTAGGGTAAAGGAAACATTAGAAGAAATGTGACAAAAACCATTAAAATGCCGAATATCGGGAGGTACCGTTATATGGGGGCTATACCAAATCGTGGACCTACACATGCAAGGTTTCGCAAAGGAGCTAGAACCCATTATGACCTACAAATACCAATTTTCAGACAAATACGTGAAAAAAAATATGGCAAAAATCATCAAATTACCGAATATCGGGAGGTACCGTTATATTGGGGCTATACCAAAACGTGGACCTATAATTACAATGACTCGCCACACGAACTGGGACCCATTATGACCTACAAATACCAATTTTCAGAAAAATCCGTGAAAAAAATGTGGCATAAATCATCAAAATACCGAGTATCGGGAGGTACCGTTATATGGGGACTATACCAGAACGTGTACATATATATCTCATTTTCAATACCAACCATCCTAGACACAATACCAATTGCTCTCCTAAATTTTGGCGCTCTACGTCAAATAATGTGGGCTGTATCGTGATTTCAACAGACAGACGGACATCGTTAAATCGACTTAGAATTTTATGCTGATTATAAATGTATATACTCTATGGGGTCTACGACGAATATTTAAGGATGTTACAAACGGAATGACAATGTTAATATACCCTCCTTTCCAAGGTGGAGGGCATAAAAATGTCGGAAATAGCATTACATTTTAGAATAGGTTTAGATTTGTTAGAATTGGTCACCTTTGGCACGAATAATAACCTTCAAACAGCAAACGAAACCGTTACACGCTGTCCGAATATAGCTCTGCGCTATTTTAGCCAATTCCCAGCGAAGCGCTTGCTTGAGGCGATCAACACTTTTGTATTTTTATTAGTGCCAACCTTGCTTTCCAAAATACTCTAGACACAATAGTCCAACGGCTTGGTATGTGGAGATTTTGGTGGTCATTGTGCGCTATAAATGAAGCGAGGAACCCCATTTTGTAATCATTCTAGGGTGGCGCGTGCTGAGTGCGATGGTGCTGAGTCTTGTTGGAATGTCCAAGATCTGTGGCCAAAATGTTTGCGTGCCCAAGGCTTTAATACAACCTCCAGAGTATGTTCGCGATAATATTCGGTATTTATTCTGGTGCCACAGTCGATTAATAGCGGAGCGGAGAGAGACTATCGGCTGTTATGGCGTCCCACACCACCACCATTGCCAGCGCTTGAGTTCTGGTGTCCAACCGAAGGTGCACATTTTCAGCTGACCATTATGGCAAGTAAACACGATCATTTTGTTTGTTTACTAACTGCTGGACAACAATATTTTACCTAAATTAAACCAAATTCGGCAGTTCACCACTTTCGGCCAAGCGAAGCAACTCTTGAGATCTTTTGAGCCTATTTTCTTTCTGTTGCGTTGTAAGTTCTTGCACTTTTTGGAATTGCAATGGCTTTACCCTGAGCTCAATATTTGCCGAATGGAAAATTGCGATATGTTCAGCTCACGAGTCATTTTCGACCATTGCGACGCGTTTTCTGCTGATGTTGCTGTTTTCTTCCGTTCACTACCTTGACGTCTGACTACGCTACCAGTATCACGGTAACGAGCGATGGTACGAGACACAAAAGATTTATTCACATTTAAATGCTGAAGTGCTCTAACGATATCCCCTTGGGGTTTTCCAGCCAAATATAAAGAAGTCACACTTTCTGGAAAATTCTCACCAAACTGCTTTTGTACGCTTGCAAGGACTTTTGGTATTGAAAATTTTAGATGATGTTAGGTTCAGGATTAGATAAGGAGCATTTTGTTTTTAAAGATGTTCGCAAAATATTTAAGGTTTAAAATAGACCAAAATATTAAAATTGTCTAGATTTTGCAGTCGCCTATAGCCCTCAACTAAGGACCAATAGATATGCAATTTTTTATGAGGTTTGAGTTTACAGCTCTGCCACCAAGCATTTGAACGGTGAAAAGGATCACAATTAAGTGTGATGCGCGCCCGACTATAGCCTTTGCTTACTTGTTTATTATACCCTACAACACTATGTGTTGGGGGTATTATAAGTTTGATTGGGCCAGAATTTATGTAACACCTCGAAATATTGATTTCCCATATAGGAAAGTATATATGGATCTTCCTATCTCGCCGAGCTGAGTCGATCTAGCTATGTATGTCCGTCCGTCCGTCTGTCCATGTTAATTTGTAACAAGTAAGCAAAGGCTACAGTCGAGCGGGGCCGACCGTTGAATACCCTACAACACTATAATAAACCATACAGTTTATATAGGCAAGATACTCGAAAGAATTCCACAAGATATTGCGACAAATAATAAAAGAAAACCATCAGGTTTCGTTCTCTAATTTTCGAATAATAGCAACTTAAACTAATTTGCTCATTTCCAATTTATTGGTAGATGTTGCACTTAAATGGTCTTCCTAGATCTGGAACCAATGTTTCCCAAAGACCTATAATCTCTCAGAAGTGGCAAAAGATTAACATTTATTATTAGTTTTTGACTGAAACGCATCTATATGAGATACAGACATTTGACTATATTTTTCAACGAAATCAGCCTTAACGAAATAGTCAGAAGTGCGTCTTTCCTGTATTTGTGAATTCTCCAAAAAGTCACTGGAATGGACATTTTCGTATTTTGTCTACAAAAGTTGGCAAACTCCTTCACACATTGAATATTTTTGGATGGCCATCCAAAACTGCTTGGCTTTTGCAATGTCCGGTAACCCCCATAATTACGACCTGCTGACAATTTTGCAGTTTTTTGTTCCATTTCAACCCCTAAATATATGGCGATCATCTTCAAAAAGAATAGGCTTTTATTCTGACCCTCATCTTATCTCCATGCAAAATTTCGTAAGGATCGGGCCATAAATGCGATCTGTATATGATATCCTGATATTCTAACTACTTAGTTTTGTTAGCTGTAGAAATATTACCAAATGTTCAAATCAAAATGAAAATATGCCAAAAATATGACAAAATTGAAAAAATATGAGAAAATTTTACAAAATCAATATTTTCATCTTTAGAGAGATATTTTTATGCGATTTTTTTCGACGTTTTATGTTTCCTGCCAAGAGGTCATTCTGAATTAATGAGAACTGTCGAAATCAGTTCAGCCGTTCTCGACATATAAGAGATTTTTCAAGCAGAAAGATTTGGTAAACATATATATCGCACATATTTTGCTATATATCCGTTTTGTTGGATGTTAACATCAATATAAAGATCAGAAGTAACCTTGTCATGGCTTTGTGATTTCGCCGGGATTTAAAATATTCGCGGTTTAATGAAAAATTTTGAATTTTTTCAACAAAAAAGATATTGTCTATTTTACCCGGTAAATATTATCCGATGACCACCCAAATAGGTAGGCTTCTTGCCAGCCCTAACCTCTAGCTACATGCGAAATTCCGCGTCGATTGGTCTATAATTGCGACCTGTAGAGCAAGTGCAAAATCAGGATTTTTTTCAGTTTTTGGTCCATTTCAACCCCTAAATATTATGCGATCATCACCAAAAGAAATAGGGTTCTATTCTGACCATAGCCCCGCCTCCATTTTAAATTTCGTGAAGATCGGACCATAATTGCGACCTGTATTCATTAAACCGCGAATATTTTAAATCCCGGCGAAATTAAAAGCCATGACAAGGTTACTCTGATCTTTACATTGATGTTAACATCCATCAAATCGAATATATAGCAAAATATGTGCGATATATATGTCTATCAAACAAGATATGCTTGAAAGATCTCTTATATATCGAGAACGGCTGAACTGTTTTCGACAGTTCTCATTAATTCAGAATGGCCTCTTGGCAGAAAAGAAAAAACGTCTAAAAAAATCGCATAAAAATATCTCTCTAAAGATGAAAATATTGATTTTGTAAAATTTTCTCATATTTTTTCAATTTTGTCATATTTTCATTTTGAATTAAACATTTGGTAATATTTCTACAGCTAACAAAACTAAGTAGTTAGGATATCAGGATATCATATACAGATCGCATTTATGGCCCGATCTTTATGAAATTTTGTATGGGGATAAGATGAGGGTCAGAATAGAAGCCTACTCTTTTTGGAGATAATCGCCATATATTTAGGGGTTGAAATGGACAAAAAAACTACAAAATTGTCAGCAAGTCGTAATTATCGCCCGATCGCATTTGAATGGAGGTTACCGGACATTGCAAAAGCCAAATAGTTTTGGATGGCCATCCAAAATATTCAATGTGTGAAATAGTTTGCCAACTTTTATAGACAAAATACGAAAATATCATTCCAGTGTCTTTTTGGAGAATTCACAAATACAGGAAAGACGCACTTCTGACTATTTCGTTAAGGCTGATTTCGTTGAAAAATATAGTCAAATGTCTGTATCTCATATAGATGCGTTTAAGTCAAAAACCAATAATAAATGTTAATCTTTTGCCACTTCTGAGAGACTATAGTTCTTTGAAAAATATTGGTTCCAGATCTAGGAAGACCATTTATGTGTAAATTGGAAATGAGCAAATTAGTTCAAGTTTCTATTATTCGAAAATTAGAACGAAACCTGATGATTTTCTTTTATTATTTGTCACAATATCTTGTGGAATTCTTTCGAGTATCTGGCCTATATAAACTGTATCATTTATTATAGTGTTGTAGGGTATTCAACGGTCGGCCCCGCTCGACTGTAGCCTTTGCTTACTTGTTATTATTACTACTGTTATTACTAGGTTTAATGAAATGAAGTTGCTTACCAATTTCTCCTCTTGACAGCCTTTTATTTCATTGTGGCCCACCCTGTGCATATGCAAATGTGACTTATT